TCTCACACACACGCACTCTCACTCACACACACACACACACTCGTCATGCTCTCAGTGTGTTGCAAGGCTCCAGTGGACGTTTATCTACAGATAAACCACACTCACAGAAGCAGAACAGCACGAGATGAGATGTGTGTTAAAGTCATTATGTAGAAACGTACCTGTCTACCTGCAGACGCCTGCAAGATCATCACAAGCAGCACATTACTCCAGAGCTCACTCGTTTAGAACTGAACACATACAGTCAACTAGCACTGATTCAACACAGTCTGGGCTTTTTTCTTAACCTCGTGTTCAGAAATGGAGTACAACTTCTGTGTTGTGAGTCAAACTGACCCACAGTGGTTTGCATGAAATTCACCAAAGAGTGAAGACAAAACTAAAAGTATCATGTAAAAACAGAAAATTTTTTATCGTAGCTGTCAGAGACTAAAAAAAAAACCATGAGAAATATAATAATTGCAATCAATTTTTTTGTTTGTTTTTTTTTGCTTTATTTCCAAGTCATTTTTTGGTAAAATTAGCTGCACAGACACAATTAAAACAAAAGAAATAATGCTGTAGAAACGTACCTGTCTACCTGCAGACGCCTGCAAGATCATCACAAGCAGCACATTACTCCAGAGCTCACTCGTTTAGAACTGAACACATACAGTCAACTAGCACTGATTCAACACAGTCTGGGCTTTTTTCTTAACCTCGTGTTCAGAAATGGAGTACAACTTCTGTGTTGTGAGTCAAACTGACCCACAGTGGTTTGCATGAAATTCACCAAAGAGTGAAGACAAAACTAAAAGTATCATGTAAAAACAGAAAATTTTTTATCGTAGCTGTCAGAGACTAAAAAAAAAACCATGAGAAATATAATAATTGCAATCAATTTTTTTGTTTGGTTTTTTTTGCTTTATTTCCAAGTCATTTTTTGGTAAAATTAGCTGCACAGACACAATTAAAACAAAAGAAATAAATAAAAAAAATATATATTTTTTTTTGTCATGAAAATATAGTGACTGTTTGCACAATAACTACAAGTAAGTAGCAACATTATTTGTACTTAGTGTACGTAACATTTATAGCTATTTGAACAACAAACTTTTCTTTTGTCATGTCTTTTTGTGTGAGTTTCTTAATTTTCCTTTTAGTGCTGTAATAGGCTAGTAACTGAGATCCAAAAAAACTAACAACCAAAAACAACCTTTGACAGATATTTATGACAGTGAAGCTCAACTAGATGAAGAAACAGAGACTTTTCCTTGGACAATTCAGAAGACAAGTCTCAATTTCGAGTCTCAAATTTAAGCTTTGAGCCACAAATTTAATACATTCTCATGTATTTCATATTTTAGCATTTGACAGGCTGCAATACAAATTTTCTGTTTTTCAAAGTGTTGATTTTTGGCAAATTGCATGGATAAATTTGACCACAAGTCAAAAGTCCTTGCAAAATACATCTACTATAACCTTTGCAAGCATTTATGACCATAAATGAGAAATATTGACAAAAAATATTGGTTACTAAGGTGTTCCAAGTCGTTGCTATGCGGTTGCTACGCTGTTGTCAGTGGTTTCATCCTGTTTAAAGTGAACAGAAACTATTGCATGATACAAAATAGAAGAATGTTTCAAACAATGGTTTGCTACATTGTTGTTCTCATTACGTTTGTCGCATGACCTCATTACATCCAGTGAGTGGCGTCATGTCGTCATCTCAGAAATAAATAAAACATTTTGTATTTTTAATCCAATTCTATTAAGAAAAATGTTTTAATGTTTGGGAGTGTGATCAAATAATGATTTAAAGTCGCACTGAAACAGATGTAGTGACAGATTTGGAACATCAAGTTATTTTGATTCCAAATAACAATTAGTTTTTTTTTTAGAAAATGAAATATGTATCAAATCATTCACAATAAGCCCAATAAAAAAAAAAAAAAAGAGTTATTACATATTTGAAATGGAAGGTCGAGCAGAGTGCATTGCATTGTGGGATACACACACATCACATCTTTTTGGCAAATGTAGCAATAGATCACCCAGAAAATTCAAATATGGTGCCCAAAATAAATAGCAAAATACTGAATATAAAAATATGAATTTAAAAGAAGTCACAGAAGTTGTATGGACATGGAAATATAGCTCAGCTTTTCTACACTCTCAAACTACCTTACCTTGTATATATTTGACTATTAAAAATTTCATTATTAGTTACTATATATAAGATATATTATTGATAAAATAATGCATATTCTTACTCAAAACCTTCAACACTGCTCAAACTGTATAATATATAATTACAAATGTTTTTGGTAACACTTTACAATAAGGTGTCATTTGTTAACATTAGTTAACATGAACGAACAATGAACACTACATTTATTACACTCTTTATTAATCTTTGTTAATGTTAGTTAATAAAAATACAGTCGTACATTGTTTGTTCATGTTAGTTCACAGTGCATTAACTAATGTTAACAAACACAACTTGTGATTTTAACATATTTGAAATGGAAGGTCGAGCAGAGTGCATTGCATTGTGGGATACACACACATCACATCTTTTTGGCAAATGTAGCAATAGATCACCCAGAAAATTCAAATATGGTGCCCAAAATAAATAGCAAAATACTGAATATAAAAATATGAATTTAAAAGAAGTCACAGAAGTTGTATGGACATGGAAATATAGCTCAGCTTTTCTACACTCTCAAACTACCTTACCTTGTATATATTTGACTATTAAAAATTTCATTATTAGTTACTATATATAAGATATATTATTGATAAAATAATGCATATTCTTACTCAAAACCTTCAACACTGCTCAAACTGTATAATATATAATTACAAATGTTTTTGGTAACACTTTACAATAAGGTGTCATTTGTTAACATTAGTTAACATGAACGAACAATGAACACTACATTTATTACACTCTTTATTAATCTTTGTTAATTTTAGTTAATAAAAATACAGTCGTGCATTGTTTGTTCATGTTAGTTCACAGTGCATTAACTAATGTTAACAAACACAACTTGTGATTTTAATAATGCATTAGTAAATGCTGAAATTAACATTAACTAAGATTAATAAATGCTGTAGAAGTATTGTTCATTCTTAGTTCATGTTAACTAATGAACCTTATTGTAAAGTGTTACCATGGTTTTGGTCATTTCTTCACCATAGTACTGCCACAGAACATTTTTGTAAAGAAAACAGAAGAGTCATTCTGGTTTGTGTGTGCATGAGAGAAGAAGCGCTCAAGACCAGAACAGAACATGTTTCAATTAAACATGCATGAGTCTGAAGACAGGAAGTGACACGCGGCACTCGGGGAAAACTCCCAGAGCGGAGAACAGACAGAAACAGGAAAGAAGGCTTTTCCAGAGCACGCTCTGTCTTTATTAGGAAGAAAAACGCTAAACTGCCTGCTAAACACATTCTTCATGGAATTAAACCAGAACACAATGACGTGAGCCGGGCTGCCGTTTCATTAATCCTTTCATTAAATGCAATGAAAACATTTGGTTACTCATGCAGGTTTACACACAACAAAAGATGTGAGGGGTCCTTCTGGATGAGTTAAAAAATGCTGAAATAAATCCTGAGTTTTGTGGTTTTAGTTCATGTCTGTTATCTTTAAGACATGATATTGCAGAAGAATAGGGAAAAATATTTAAAGGGATAGTTGACCCAAAAATTAAAATTCTGTCATTAATTACTCACACTCATGTCGTTCCAAACCCGCAAGACCTTCGTTCATCTTCGGAACACAATTTAAGATATTTTTGATGGAATCCGAGAGCTCTCTGAGCCTCCCATAGACAGCAAGGTAACTACCACGATCAAGGCCCAGAAACATAGCAAGGACATCGGTAAAATAATCCATGTGACATCAGGGGTTCAACCGTAATTTTACGAAGCTTCGAGAATACTTTGAGCACAAAAGAAAAAAAAATAACGACTTTATTCAACAATTCGTCTCCTCCGCGTCACCCTGTTAGAGCCATTTTGGAGAATATCCACTGAACGTAAATTGCATATGCTATTCTGTGTCAGCTGCGTCACACGGATACGTTGTTTACGCTTTGATTTGAACGAAAACAGTGTATCGGCGTGGTGCAGCTGACACAGAACAGCATACGCAATTTACGTTCAGTGGATATTCTCCAAAATGGCTCTAACAGGGTGACGTAGGAAAAAATAAGGAAAGTGTGTCCAGCTGAATTAATTTAGTATTTTGTTAGACGGGTATAAAAAAAGCTTAGTTTACCGCGACAGCGGTCGCGTTGACGGCCTCCTCGTGTGAAGACCGAAGAGTGTAAAGACCATCGACTCTACCGTGCGACTCCACCGGGCAGGACACCGGCAAAGGATAAGTATTGCTTTTTATTTCTCCTCTTTCCTACTACTTGTTTCACTTCTGTTTCAGTTTTTATAACCATTTCTTACTATGTGTCAGTAAGTTGTTGTTTTTTAGCATGTGTGTTTGGCAGTGTTATTTTTTAGGATTACTGATAAACTACTGTCGTTTGATTTGTATTATTTGTATTTGTTATTTATTTTAATTTTAGTTAAATTATGTCTGTTTAAAAATGTGTATAGGTAGTATTTATAAAGTTTTAGCTTTTAGTTTTGGATCTGTTTTTAGTTGTTTTAATACTACAATTGATTGCTTCTGTTGTCCTCATTTGGAAGTCGCTTTGGATAAAAGCGTCTAATAAATGACTAAATAATAAATAAATAAATAAACTGGCAATTGCGAGTTTATATCTTCTGAGGAAAAAAGTCAGAATTGCATGTTTTTATCTCACAATTTTGTGAAAAAAAGTCAGAATTGTGAGATAAAAAGTTGCAATAACCTTTTTTTATTCAGTGGCAGAAACGGGCTTCCATACAAAATTGATCAATGCACAAAAAAAAAAAGGTTTTGCCTGTAGTGTCTTACATCTATATGCTAGAGGACTTCTAAACATTGACAAAATAAACACCACTTTCAGTCTTTCTTCCTGGAAAACAGACTATTAACAGTAACTGCAGGTTAATTAGTTGCACTGGATGTCAGTCTGGATAGTGTAGGAGTCAATATGCTGCAGGTTAAACAAACACGTTCAACCTAAAACATTCTTGAGACTCTTTTCCCGCTGGATCTAAACATCAGGACGTGTCGAGTCTCATTCCCTCTCCAGATATTTCAGTAAAGTGCTGGACAATAGAAGAGAGCGGGATGCCACGCAGGTCAGAGGCTCTAAAATAGCCTGCGATTTACTGCAACTGCTGCAGCCAATACAATAGAGCACATGCATGCATTACTGCTCAACACAAGAGCAAAGGCTGATCTCAGCACTGGCTAACCACACTTTGGTTAATGCAAATGCTGCATGTGTGTTAATGCATGTTTGGTTAATGCAAAACGACCCGGCAAACAGGATTTGTGCCTCCACCCCGCATGCAGCGCAAATGCATGTTTAACCACACATTTGCATGCTTCTATGAGAAAAACAGAGATAGAATATTGACAGAGAGTTAATGATTAAATGCACTTCTCTTCCCTTTGGCCTTTGATCATGCAACTTCTGCTTTCACACTCATTTAAACACACAATGGCCTGCTCTAGATGCATCAAATAAACATAAATGCATTCTAACGAGAACAGAAGCCTCATTGTGCACCTATTGCAATTTATAAAGCACTGCTTTACCTGCCTGGTATACATATAAAACACGATCAAATGCATGACAAATATTCATAAAACATATTAAATATCAGGTCTCGGATGATTACCACAAATTTGTTGATTAAATACAAGCAGAAAACGCAAATTTCTTGTGATGCGAGAACAAAGACGTTCATGTCAAAAGTGTGGAAAACCTGTCAAAGCACAAGTAAAACAATGATTAAGAATATAACTATATTATAAATAAAGAAAAACCTTCGAGTGCTCAAATACTGTGCATTTGATGGCAATAATGAGTCTGAAATGCAATAAAACTGATGTTTAATGCAATCTAACTATTATAAAGACACTGATAAACAGATCTTGGATTATTAAATATAAACAGAAAATGCATATTGTATGTGTTTTGACTTGCACTAAAGATGTGAGGACAAAGACGTTCATGTCAAAAGTGTTGACAACCTGTCAAAGCACACATAAAACAATGATTAAGAATATAACTACATTATAAACCCTTCAAGTGCTCAGATACTGTGCATTTGACTGCAGAAGTGAGTCAGAAATGCGATGAACCTGATAGAGATTCATTCGGATTTGATTCCGACACTGAATCGCGTTCAGGTGAATTACAGCTAAAGCGCATTAGAGGTGATTCGGTTTGATTTCTCTTACCTGGCTGCTCTCTCAAACTCATCACTGATATGATATAATGCGCCATGTCGAAGCAGGGGAACATGGAGAGGTTTGACAGCCCCAGAGCGAGTTCGTTTAGATTGAGAAAGCCGAACACATCCATGATTACGCCGCTTCAGCTTCCCGTCATCAACGCGCTTTAATCCGCCTTCAGTCAGTGGGATGATGACTCGGTTCGGATGATGGGTGTGCTCGGACGCATGTAGTATCCAGCGGATGATCGGACACACGGAATCAATCCAGATGATCAACAGCTGATCGGAGCGGTAACCGGATCCGCCGCCATTGCTGCCGCGGATGCTGCGAGCTGGAGCAGAACGCACACACGCACGCACGCACGCACGCACAAACGCACCTACGTTACGTCACAGACCACAAGGAAAACTCTTTATTTCTGAGGTAAATTTGGAAAGGTTTAGTATTTTAGCCAAAGTAGAAGTGTGTTAGATGGCTTCAGACTTTGAGAAATTGTGGATAGTTAGAGGGACTTTACATAAAGTTATGTAGATTTAAGTATATCTAATTTTATCTGCATGCACTCATGTAAAGCTATATAATACTTCAAAGCAATTATTAAACTGCTTGATTGTTTATATTGTTGCAAAATGTAACTGTATTATCGTCCATCTCTAATCTGATAAATAAGACATGAAGATTTTAAGATATTCTAAACAATAACATCATGATTTTCTGTAAAGCTGCTGTGAAATAATGTGTATTGTGAAAGCACTATACAAATAAGCTAGGTATAGTTTTGCTTTCAATCTGCAACACTTATATTAATCTAATCACTGTTAGCTGATATCATTAAAATGACATATGTACGGGTTTAAGGGTTTGGTCGTATGGCAAACCTGTAAACAGTTAACTGAGAAAGTAATTGTCATGTTATAATAGCCACACAGTGGTGCTAGAGACCCTGATATTGATCTTTCATCGTCTTTTCCCTCCTCTTGCTCCAGTTAATACTGTGGGAACTTCAGCACTCATCTGAATTAAAATGTGAATTAAACCAGAGTTTGAATGAAGCCTTCAGAACACGCACTGAATTGAAGCCGAAGCTTGTGATTGGACTCACGCACACACACACGCACACACACGCACACACACACACACACACTCCTGGTCCTCCTCTCTCAGTCTTTGTGTTGTTCCATGGGAAAGGAGCACAAGTTAAGGACTTTGGGAATAAGTGAGTCACACACTCATGGATAGTTCTTTAATTCATGAAGTGTTTGAGTGTGAATGTGAAACCTTGGAGCTGATCCTGAAGCAGTCTTTCAGAGATTTTGATCATGGGCTGAAGGTTTCTAGCATCATCATGCACCATTTGATAAATATTTATAAAGCTCTGCACCGCAGCATCCACTGCATGAAGAAGATGAAGATGGCATGAACCGCTTTATTACTGTGCACCTGTAAAACATGGTGAGCTATAACTATGGCCTACATATAGAGTTTATGCTGTTTCAGAGATGAGCTCTGAATACATTGATTTATTTAATGACACATTAAATAATACTTTTTTTTTTTTTGATAAATTGTGCTTCTGTGCCTAAATGTTAATCTGAATGTAATGCAAAAGCCTGTAACATGTTACTTTCCATAAAAAGCGATGTTTTGTCATTTTCATAAGAAGCACGCAGTGTTTTAAGAGTAACATTCCTCAGCGCTGGTAACGACGTCATGTGATCATCTGTTAAACACACTGTGCTCGGAGGTCAGCACAGAGCTGAAGGAGGTCACAGATGACCCACATCTGAACAGGCCAAGGGCAGCACGGCTGTGACCTTTAGCCTAGAGGTCACTGTCAGGAGAGAGCAGTAACCCGAGGGAGGATCTCTGAGCAAACACACACACTGCGTTTTCATGCAGATGCCGAGGATGCATATGGAATTACTTTTTATATAAAAAGCAGGTATATATTTCAAAAGTAAATATTTTTGCATTATCCTTTTTGTATTTAACACTTCAAAACAGGCATTATATATTTAAACAGTTAAATTTTGCATTTAAAACTTAAAAATTCAGTATTATATATTTCAAAAGTTACATATTTTTTTATATAAAACTTAAAAATGAAGGGATTATGTATTTCAATAGTTAAATTTTTTTTGTTTTTAAAACCTAAAAACCATGTATTATTTCAACAGATAAATAATTTTTGCATTAAACTAAAAAACGTTCAGTTTTGAATTAAAATTTCAACCGATATATGCTTGTGTTTGACTGTAAATGTACAGAACATTAACGATTTTAGTTCTAAAACTTAAAGCAGGGATTATATATTTCAAAAGTAAAATTTGTTTCATTATAATTTTTGTAATTAAAACTTCAAAACAGGCATTGTATATTTAAACAGTTAAATGTTGCATTTAAAACTTAAAAATTCAGTTTTATATATTTCAAAAGTTACATAATTTTTTATCTAAAACTTTAAAAAGCAGGGATTATGTATTTCAAAAGATAAATATTTTTGAATTATAATTTTTGTAGATAAATTTTTTTTTTTAAAAAGCAAGCATTATATATTTCAAAAGTAAAAATGTTTTTCAACATTTCAAGTTTTTTTTTGTGTGTGTGTTTAAAACTTAAAGCAGGGATTATATATTTCAAAAGTTAAATTTTTTTCATTATAATTTTTGTGATTAAAACTTTAAAAACAGGCATTATATATTTAAACAGTTACATTTTGCATTTAAAACTTAAAAATTATGTATTTCAACAGATAAATCATTTTTGCATTTTAAACTAAAAAAGTTCAGTTTTTGAATTAAAATGTCAACCGATATATGTTTGTGTTCGACTGTAAATGTATAGAACATTAAGGATTTTAGTTCTAAAACTTTTCTAGTTTTTTTTTTTTTTTTTTAGTTTTTCACCGTTTTGTCTTCACTGGTTCATATTAAATGGCCTTCGGTGTAACAAATGGATTTATAAAACTTAACATTTTCCCTGCATAACTGCTTTTTATAGCTGTTCTTTCTGAATTGGCAGATGTACATTTTATTGTAGTTAATAATATATAGAACGCATATTTAGTTTTTTGTAATATTTTTGATAAAGAACAGAAATAAAACATGAATTAAAATGGTTTATGTATATAATAGCATTCAAAAGTTTAGAGTCAGGAAGATTTTTCTAAATATTTTTGAAAGAAGTCTCACCAAGGCTGCTTTCACTTGAACAATAATTCATGAGCTGATGATCTGAATCAGGTGTGTTTGATTAAGGAGACATGAAAAACATGCAGTGTTGGGGGGCCTCCAGGAATGTGGTTGGGAACCACTGGTATAGAACATTAACGATTTTAGTTCTAAAACTTTCCCCCTTTTTTTTTTTTGCACTGTTCGTTCGATTGGCTCTGTTTGTGTGTGGTTAGAAAGCAGCGGAAGAAAGACACAGCGCCGTCTGTTTGCCTGAACGCTTTCATCAACCAAAGGCCCAACCGGAGCATTTTTACGCAGGAATTCCTGCTGAATGGACGCTTGGATCAGAGGAGGGCTTCTCCTCTAAATCTGACCGAGTTCCTTTGAAAACTTCAGCTTCAGGCAACAAAGCTTCCCCTCTCTCTCGCTCCCATTCTTTCTTTTCAACGTTGCATGTCCAGTTTCTGGTTCTTCCTTCTGCAGCGTGCTCAGATTGAAGGTCATTCGCTCAGTGTGCCACTATGTGTGAGTTCGTCTATTCAAGCCTTATTCTGTAAAGCGCAGGCAGACGTGCAGTGAATAGAGAGTCTCTAGGTTCTTTTCATGCTTTCGGTGCAGAGCTGAGTCTGTCTGATGAGTTTCAGAAAGCAACCATGCAGCGTTTGCATCGAGAAGCGCTAGCAATCACATACTGTATCTTCCAGAAAATAAGTCACACTGGGTCAAAATTGCATTGTTGAGAGAAAAACACAGATAAGTCGCATCGGTGTATAACTCACTTTTTATTATTACATTCAGGAATACTAGTAAATCAAATGTTTACAAACATTATAAACACTTTTTCTCAACAATCAGTCCTATGGTATTCATAACAGGAATGAGAAACATAAGCATAAAGCCAAGAAAAATTATAGTGGCATTTATTAGAAACAGCATTTATTGTAAACTCCAAAACTAAACAAATTTATTTTAAAGTGAAACTGAATCCAAATGTGTTGTGCTTGACGTTAACTGCATTCTTTAAGTCATATTGGGCTATAAATTGCAGCACAATTCAGATGATAAAAAACATGGTTTATATTGCAGAAAATAAACCCAAAAATTCAGTTGTCATTATTTACTCTCCCTCATGTCATGCACCTAACGATGCATGTTAAAGGTGTGGTCAAATTTACTATTTAACTACAACAATTCTACAACAATTTTACTATTCAACTTTACAAAATACTCGTTTTAAAGGGGTCATATGATGTTGCTAAAAATAACATTATGTTGTGTATTTGGTGTAATGAAATGTGTTTATGCGGTTTAAGGTAAAAAAAACACATTATTTTCCACATACTGTACATTATTGTTTCTCCTCTATGCCCCGCCTTTCTGAAACGCGTCGATTTTTACAAAGCTCATCGGCCTGAAAAGCAAGGTGTGCTGTGATTGGCCA